AGGAAACGTTGTTCTAGGTCAGCCATAAAGATGTTAGCATACTGTGGGGCCATGCGTGTACCCATGGCTGTGCCGCTGATCTGGAGGTATAAGTTGTTCTCAAACTGGAAATAATTGTGGGTGAGAACAAAGTTACATAGGTCTGCTATCAGGTTGGCAGTAGTGTCCTCTGGGATAGTGTTTCTAATTGCTTGTAATCCATCTTCATGTGGGATGTTGCTATATAGAGCTTCTACATCCATGGTGGCAAGGATGGTGTTATTGGGGAGGTTATCGATGTTTTGTAGTTTCCTTAGGAAGTCAGTAGTCTCGGAGATAGCTGGGGGTGTTGGTTTGAGAAGAGAGTCTACATAGCTGGATAGACCAGAAGTGAACGTGCCAATACCAGACATGATGGGACGTCCGGGGTGCCCAGGTTTATGGATCTTGGGAAGTAGATAGAACAATCCTGGTCGGGGGTCAGAAGGTGTTTCTGTGTGGATTTGTTCCCGAGTAGCTGTGGGGAGGCTTTTAAGGAGACAGTGTAGTTTCTTTTGGTATTCCAAGGTGGGATCAGAGGGGAGAGGGTTGTAAAATGTGGTGATTCCCCTCCTGTTCTGAAATGTGATTTGTCCTTTTCATATGTGTTCATTTTTTTAAATTGTATCCTTTGGTATATATGATTGTGACTATTTTCTTCCACTATTTGATCTGAGGAAGTAGGTCTGGCCCATGAAAGCTCATCATCTAATAAACCATCTTGTTAGTCTTTAAAGTGCTACATTGTCCTGCATTTTGCTTCACATATTCTTAAGACATTATTTTTTAGATCATGTGGGCATGTTCAGGTTTTGAGAAAAATACCATATTATTGTTATCATAATTTTCTTTTGAAGTAGCTGTTGCAAACAGCAGGTTCTGCCTCGGTCTAACTACCATCAGTTCTTGAGCAGAGTAACTGCCTGAGAAAAGGGCATTTGTGAAAGAATAATTTGCCTGCATACTGTCTGACCATTTCTGTTTAAGGCCCGGTGTATACAGTGTAAATAAAATAAACGATAATAAGAAAATACCCAGACTCCACATCACTCGTTTTTCCTTGATAAGAAATCAACCTGCAGTGCCCTAATATCTGCTACAAAAGGAGTGACAATATTAAGCAAATGTACAGCATGATATCTGCCCTAATGATTCTTATCCAACAGACTATATACTAGGTGAAACATAATAATTACTGAGGTGGAGAGGTGCTTCTACTTTATTTATCTTTCTTTCTCCAAAGTAATTCATCTATAGAACTGTAAGTTAATGAAAAAAGAAGCTTCTCCTTAACTTCTTTTTCTCCTGATGTGTTTATTAGACCAGTTTCAGGAACAACTGTATCACAGGAAGTCTAATTTGGATATTTCAAAAACATGAATAAAAGGGGGTAAGAGAAAAATGAATCAAGAAATCTGAAATAGCATCAGATTTCTCAAAGATGGCAAAAGTCTATTCTGAATTTCTAGGTTAGGGCCTATGTTAGTCCTGTTTTATATTACTGCAACTACATTAAAATGAGTAGCCCTGTTCAACACCAGATTGGAGGAGAGCAAGGGAGATTAAAGTTTTAGTGTTCTGGGAAGAATTCATGCATAGGTTAGGCTGCAGGTGCAGGGTATGATTTAACACAAATGTGAAGGGTAAAGACTAACACTTTGATTAGGCTATTAGGGTGTCGAAGCAAAAACACGCTCCTCTCTGTTTAAACAAAATGCAGGACTATGTAGCACTTTAAAGACTAACAAGATGGTTTATTAGATGATGAGCTTTCGTGGGCCAGACCCACTTCCTCAGATCAAGTAGTGGAGGAAAATAGTCACAACCATATATACCAAAGGACACAATTAAAAAAATGAATACATATGAAAAGGACAAATCACATTTCAGAACAGAAGGGGGATGCAGGGGGGCGGGGGACGAAGGAAGGAAGGTAAGTGTCTGTGAATTGATGATATTAGAGGTGGGGAAAGTTAGATGTCTGTGAGCTAATGGTATTAGAGGTGATAATTGGGGAAGCTATCCTGGTAATGGGTAAGATAGTTGGGGTCTTTTGAAGGGTAAAGTTTGTCATACTGTAGAAGACAATCCTACTAGCAAAATCTCCCATCATTTTGTACCTGCTGCTGTCGCTACATTTTGAGTATCCAGACAGAAGGGTCCTTTAAATTGGCTCAACTGATCCACTATGTCGAAGCAAAAACACGCTCCTCTCTGTTTAGGCGGCTAACAACTGATTTCCTTTATTGATCAGTAAAGCAAAGTGAGCCAAACATGGTCCCAGCAAAGCCGGGCCCAGTAAAGCTGCTAATACAATCAATCCTAGTATCTTTATACCCTTAGCCAAACACTCTGATGTCAGGGCATCCAATTACAGAAATCCTCAATTAAATTTGGAAAAACAAAGCCTTATCAACAAGATGGCGGACAGGTATGAGGGAGTACATCTCCTGTCCCAACCAGCCCAATTAACACATACCAATAGCCCATCCTGTAGGCCTCTTCTCACGGGGTGACAGAAAGTTCACTCTGGTCTACGTGCTTGAGAGAAAAGCTGAAATGGTTTCTGATATACAAGATGGCTTCTAGCTAAATAGGAAAATGGTTTCTACAGCTTCTACAACTACAATGGTTGTCTGTCCTGTGTCTCTAATGGGCTTTGGTGTGCTCAGTGAGCCAAGTAGTGAAAACCGTCTGGTGCCTAAAACCTAGCAATATCACTTGTGCAACAGACCTTAATTCTGGTCCCTCCATCCAGGACAAGGAAAATCCTACTTCCTTTCTTGTTCAAGACTGGGATTTTGGGCCTTTTTTCTTCTTTTTGAAAAAGTAGTTATAGTAAAAGAAAGGTAAAAGAGGAAACATACTGAGCAGTTCTTGTGTAGCAAGGTTTTGTAGTTCGAACATTGCCAAGAGTAATTACATCTACACTGGCGTTGTCCAGGTCTTCAACATTCTCTGCTCCAATACAGCCACTGTTTTGACAAAAAGGAAAACCAAACACATATACATTTTACATAAGACAGCTGGCAGAGACAGCTGACATATTTCAAGCTCTGTATCACAAGAAAATACATGGAGATGAGCAATCCTTTGTGCAGTAACGTCCCAAGATTAAAACAAACATGCATTGAACTAGCAGCATATAATTAATGACAACTCTACCACATATGTGCAATGATCAGTTTCGACAAAGCTGGAAGTAACGTGAGAAACGTCTGTCATCCCTATTTTCTTCTTTGACTTTTATTAGGGGGCTGTGCCCCCTGCTTGCTATATTCATCAACCCCCTTCTCAGCTGTGGTGGGCCTGGGACCGAGGTCACCCAGCCCTGGCTCTTGCCCACCTCCCACCTCCACCGGGGAGGGTCCAAGGCCATACTGGCCCTGGCTCTTCCCTCCTGCCTCCGGTCACTGAGCAGGGCTGGGCCCAAACCGTGCCATGCCCGTCTTTTCTCTTGGCCAGCAGAAGAGGGCGGGCCCAGCTTTCTCCCCAGCTACCAGGAAGGTCTGGGCCCAAGCTGCGACAGGCTCAGCTCTCCACCTCTCCGCACTGCCCTGGCTGCTGGGAAGAAAAGCCATAGGTAGCCCCAGAGCTCCATGTGGGCCCTGGGAAGGGCCAGGCTGGGAGTGGGTGGGGCTTTGGGGCTTGGACTGGGGGGTGATGTGATGATGTCACTCTGTTGTCCCACCGGACATTTTTTTAATATGAAGAGAGAGTGCCATAGTAAAGTATGATGCCTTTGAGATGAAGACTTAGTGGAGCCTCATTCTCAATTCACGCTATAGTAAATGAGGAGTAATTACAGTGAGGTCAGAGGAGTTACCCATGAGTAAGTAGAGGAATTTCAAACCTTGCATTAGGAAGATGAGACAAATTGGCTAATTACATGAAATCAAAACTGTAAAATACATAATGTTTCTCAATCTTTACTTACGTGTAGAGAGGGATATGCTGAGTTCGAGAGCTTGGGCTTACACTGTTACGGATAAAATACAAGATACATCAATTACATCTTTTTTCTAATAAACTAATATAACTGTTGCTAAGCAACCTTTTTATGCACCAAATGAGAAAAATAAGTAGCAAATGACATAGAGACCTATTTTTGATTGCTTACTTTAGTGGCAGAGGGGCAAGCCAAAGTTTTGATTTCAGAATGATGGGGGGATCGAAAGATCGAAAGATCCTTTATTGCTCATTTTTTGAGGAATACAGGATCTTTTGAAATGGGGTGTCCACAGGAATACAGGATCTTTTGAAATGGGGCGTCGAAACTGCTGGGTTTTTTCGAAAAGCCCTGTTTTGAAAAAAAGTGGCGGTCACCACTATGCAAATGAAGTGCGGGATATTTAAATCCCCGCTTAATTTGCACTTTCGATGTGTCTAATTTACATCCCTCTGCTGACAGAGGGGTGTAGCTTAGACACACCCTGACTGACGATGCTTTTGAAAAACTTATGGTACGTCTAGACTACATGCCTCTGTCGCCAGAGGCATGTAGATTAGGCTACCAGACATAGGAAAATGAAGCGGCGATTTAAATAATCGCCGCTTCATTTAAATTTACATGGCTGCCGCGCTGCGCCCACAAACAGCTGATCAGCTGATAGTCTGGATGCGCGGATGGCGACATCAAAGGTATTTGTCGACCACCCCGGTAAAACTCATCCCACGAGGCATACCTGGGTGGTCGACAAATACCTTTGATGTCGCCACCCGCGCGTCCATACTATCGCGCTGAGCCGACAAACAGCTGATCAGCTGTTTATCAGCTCAGCGTGGCAGCCATGTAAATTTAAATGAAGCGTCAATTATTTAAATCGCCGCTTCATTTAAATGAAGCGGCGATTATTTAAATCGCCGCTTCATTTTACTATGTCGGGTAGCCTAATCTACATGCCTCTGGTGACAGAGGCATGTAGTCTAGACGTACCCTACGTTGCTCTTCAGAAAGAAGCTCAAATCCCACTGACTAGGAGATGTGCCAATGTAACACCAGGTTTGCATTTGCTCTGTCATGCTCTGTCCCCCTTGTTCTCATCCATCACATTTGGACTTTGCTGTCCTTCTCTTTTCACTCTGCTCGCCTGTCTTTCCCTCTCTCGGGCACACTCTCCAGACATCTGTTTAATCTGCCTCTGGCTCATCTCCTACCTCCTCTTTCTCTTCCCTT